CCCCTTACAGACCAAAGCAACCAAAAAAGAACATTACATACATATATCCCGCCCCATTACAGACTGCGACAACCGTATTCACCAAATAGTCGATGGTGGAGAAAAATAACTTGAAATTAGAAAACAAAAAAAAAGATTATTATCGAGTATATAGCAATAATTATAAATGAAATCGAGCGCGCTTAAATGAAAAAAAAATATCTTCTTTTTGTAATATATTTTTTTAATATACAAATAAATAATAAATTCCTGCTCTTTTCATCGATTCTCAACGAAAACAACTATAGTTGATGAGAAGTCTTTCAGTATACAGATGATGCGTCAGGTAACAAAGCTAAAGGTATACGTGAGTTCCACATTTCAGCTCCGCAGGAGCTGCGCTAACAAGCTTTTTTTAAATTGATTAAAATTGATTAAAAAGGACTAAAATCAAAATGTTTTTTCTTTTAATGCTGAAAACTCTGATTTTAATCAGATTAAAATAGTGTCGTAATGATAGATTATAATCTGATTTTTAGACATCTTTTATTTTACATGGGGAGTCATAATTATGAGAAACTGGCAATAAGTCACTTATTGAAAGTATTATATGCTGAGATTTTCTAAATCCTGACTTACATTCAAAGTGGAATGAAGGAGCTGCTCATATTACGTGTGAAACGATGTCACCAACAATACGCAATCAGATACAGTTAAAAATTATGATTCATTAATAAATGAAATGAGAAACAGAATTCGCCGTGTATGCATAAATAATCTTGTTCATAGTGTGAAAAACTGATCGCAGAGTTTTGTCCATTTTGCAAAAAATAGATTCATATATAAAATAACTGTTCTTTGTAAATTGTAGAGCTCGTCACGTTGTGTCTTGTGATATATTTTGCTTTTTAATGTAATGTACTAAGCGATCAAAAATTGAAATTGAATGCAGGCTATTTATTATGTATAAATCGTTAGTTGTTTTACACTATAGTGCAAAGGATTTTTCTAAACGTATAGCCTAATCCTTGAGTTTCAAGTAAATTTTCTAGCTCTAAAGCTCAGTTGAGTCTAATATGCACTTCCATCAACATCGGCGGTTCTGACTTTCTTTTCTGTCGATTATGCAAATAGAAAAGAAAAAAACGCTTTCATAGCAACTCAATACAATGCAATCTTGACTGCGTCATATTAAAGCTCTTCATGAAAATGAATGTTGATGAGAACAGCATAGGAAAAAAAAAAGAAGAATAACGCTTTTTTTTCCTTCTTTTTGCGATAAAATACGCACTTTCTCCCTTCTCGTCAGAACTGAGTGTCAAGAGAGGCGAAAAAAAAATGCTGACAGCTTTGCTTTCGTCGTTATAGAGACGACCGTTATTCATTCGGTAATTTGTTGCATCTGTGCTTCTTTAAAATAAATATAGTATATTTTAGTAGATTGTCGGGGAGGCGACTTGCATTTGCATTTGCATTTTACGAAAAGAAATTGAAGACAAGAACTCAAAATCACAGAACGAGCTCAAGGTAAGCGGTGCAAACTAACTAGTTCACGTTCTATATAAAATTTGTTTTGTGTCATGATGTTTATTTGTGTTCAATTCTTTTAAGATGTTACAAAAAACTGAGCACAACCCATGAAACGCAACAAAAAGTTACGTTGAATGGACCAATTTCGTATTCTTCTTGTGATTTTTGTTGTTGCTTTGATGGTGAAATGATGTAAGTTTTTGTTGATGTTGAATTAGCTGAAAAGAAAAAAAAATACTAGGGAAAGAAGAAAAAGAACAGATATAGTCTCGTTTTGTTTTTTTGAAAAACTAAGCATTTATATTATTCACAATGAAATAATCCTTATATACCTGCTCAAAATGTGATAGCCTCTAATATTATTTATGTTCTGTTGCTTACGTGTATCAAATTTCATCAACGACGCCCCAGTTTTTCCCGATTAATTGCATTGGCTGTTTCTTTAAAAGAACCTGGAAGAATATTGAGTATTTTTCCCACGACTCCTTCCATTTCTGGTGTGCCGTTTCTTGAAAGCAAGCACACTCGTATGGGATAGTGAAGCTGTTTGGATAATTCTCCCAAGAAATAATTTAATGTGCTTTGATTACTTGGCTGACCGTTGTACGTTTGAGTGTATTCTTCCATAAATCTTTCACGAACTGTACGTGTAGTTTGCCCGATGTAAAGAAGGCTAAACTCATTCAATTGTGGATATTCTTTAAGGGCATTTTGAAACTGCAAATAAATGAACCATTTAAAACCAATGCCCCCTTTTTTTTCTTTTTCTTTTTTGTTTTCCAACTCCCACTGGTTGAGCAACTTTTTCATATTTCTTTTAGTAAGTTTTATTTCCCATGCATAAACACCGCAAGTATGGAATACTGATTTATTAAAGCATGTGCTTGCATTTTGAGTCGTTACTTCAATGACACTTGTACCAGAACGACAAATTTGGTTAAGGCTCAACGCATATGGATTGATGGCTTCATCCTTGATTTGATACATATCGATCAGACTTTTAATATTTTGGTTCTCTCCGAACAGGTTGTTAATGAGTTCAAAATCGTCTTTGTTACACTTTTGACTCGTATGACGTCGAACAATAAAATGATACCAAGATGAAGTTGCTTTTTCTTCAGTACCCAAATCTTTAAATTTCTCCTAAAGAACAGAAAATACCAGACGTTTTTGAAACATTTAAAATTATAATAGAGCAACAAGACATTGTACTTACCGTTAAATCGTTGACATCAAAGTTTTCCACTTTGTTTGTTGCTGATGCAGATTCATTCTAAAAATAAAAAAGCAACAGAAATATTTCGCTCGGTATGTATGTTTAGTGATGCATATTTACTGCGATTTTTAACGGCTCAGATCGATTTTCTTTCATAACATTCATAGTTGTTGTTGTTGTATCAGTCTTAGTGTCGCCTACTAAATTTTCTCTGAAAAGACAATAAATGGAAGCATAATGTAAGAGCGAGACAAAAGAAAAACTTCTCGCTTTCCAGAAAAAAACTCCACTTCTAACTGTTCCTGCTTCAATATTTTAACAAATTTATTGAATACTCACACATTTCCTTCATTTTCTCGTTGGCCATCATTTCTTTCATCTTCATCTTTAAGTGTTTCATCCTGAAAAGAAAATTCAAGAGATTATGGCTTTATATCGCTCGTTTTCGCTAGTGATACTAACCGGATCGACGGCATTTTCTTCTTTCTTCTCACGTAATTTTAATTTATTCATTTAAAAAATTGATTTAATATTTTAAATCTAAAACAGAAAGAAGTAGTTAAATAGTGCACAGGTGGAGATGAGCAGAAAATGAATGCGTTCAATCACACACTTTATATAAATCTTCTGAATGAGTAGGTTGAAAGAGCTTTAACTGTTGGAAACACTCTCTCGCACTAATCGCTGCTAGCAGTGCGTTTAATAACCAGTCTTCATGTCAATATTTACGGCCGCGTCTTGTTTCATTACTATCGCTTAGATTTTCTAAAGCTATACGATTTTAAGTCAAAAACAACGAATTTTTAATGTCTCAGTATAAGTTCTTTTCACCCGTCCTTTATGCAGAAAAATACGTGATTTTTTAACTACGGAATACTTCATTCTGACATTTAGCAGTGTAGCAACAGAAAAAATAGACCACAACGGCAGAGAACATTAGGAGAGGAGAAAACTAAGAAGTTGAAATTTCAAAGTCAAGTAATGTAAATCAGCAGTTTAACTCACGCAATTACGTATGAACATCCATAATTTTCACATAGACAGATAAGATAGAAAAAATTTAGCCAAAATAGAAAATAGAGTGGTTAAGAATTCATTAAAAAACTAATGATCCTTTTGCACTGTGTTTAAGGTCAATATCAGAAAATAACAAGCGAAAAAATAGATTATAACTCATGATATATTAGAGAGTATATGGTATTCTAACTATGCGATGAAAATCGGCAATTCTATCTCGACTTTCCCAATTTTTATTGCAAGTACAGATTATTGAACTAATATTTGCGCTTATTGGACCTGGTGGTACTAGTTGGATTTAGGATCACGACTGGATCTTGATGTGTGGTGAACGATATGTATATAATGGTTGTTTATTCTCGTACTCATGTAAGTTTCACGTGAGTGAGAAGAGAAAGAGCTGTCTCTTTCCAAAATGGCGTAAATAATACAAAAATAGTTTTTTCATTTTAAAATAATATTATTTTGATTTTCAGATCCTATGTCGTTCGCACCGGTAAAAAGCTAGCAGTTAACCGCGGTTAATCGACGGTTCCTGTTTTTGAAAGTAGGCATTGATCGAAATTAGGGCTGTGACAGCTCCAGTTCAGATGAACTGAACTGAAATGGAACTATCGCAGTCCTAACCTAAATAAAAGAAAAAGACCATTTATATAAATTAATACTTACTTTTCTTTGGACATCCAGATTGATATAAATGAAAGAAAAGGCAAAAGTTTATATAAAATAATACTTACTGTTAATTTTTGACGCCGAAATTGATCTATAAGAAAAGATCATTTATATAAAATAACACTTACTTTTCCTTTGGACGTCGAGATTGATCTAAATGAAACAAAAAGAAGATAACTTACATAAACTAATACTTGCTTTCCTTTCGATGTCGAGATTAATCTAAATAAAGGAAAAAAAAGATTATTTATATAAACACTTACTTTTCCTTTCAACATTCAAATTGATCTAAACAAAAGAACAAATTTACATAAATAAATCTTTACGGTTGTTTCCAATACTTTTTAGTAATTAAAACCAGCTACACAAAATGTCGATAATGCACGGTTAACTGGTGGTTTGAATTTTAACCCGCAGTTGACCGCGGTTAACTGGCAGTTAGAAATTCATCCGTCGGTTAACCGCCGGTAACCGGCGGTTTTGTAAAAAAAACGACATGGGATTGGTCTAAACAAAACAATTAATATTATCAACAAATTATTACTGTTGAAATTTATTGCAAAAATGCTGTTTAATGAGATCTGTCTAAATAATCACCCATTCACCGCAATTGATCGGAATACTCGAAAACTAGGTGATAACTTGTGGCTAATCGCTAATTCTTTCGATTATCCCGCTAAACTGTCAAAACTCAGGCAATTAGACAACGTGGGAAGTACTATTGATTATTTTTCTTATTTATATTTGTACTATTATACACATTTTGCTCTCTATTCTAGATAACTACGAAGCATGATCAGAGGATGAAGACGGTGACTTAAAAAACGATACGTTACTAAATTACATATCATCACTGACAGCAATTATATTTTTCAAAAAAAAAATACATTCAGTGAAGCCATGAAATAAAATTGATTGCTATACTCTTTTATTTTATAATCAATGATGACATTGAATATACCAAGATTAACAGTTGAATTTATGATGAAAAATATATATTCTAAAACAATTTTATGCCAGTGCGATGAAGTCGCAGAAATAACAACATTAAACAATAGTTACTATATAATATATAGAAGCCTTTAAGCTGGAACCATACTTTGTCGTTGAAAATAAAAAAATATAAACTTTTTAATAAGATCTATAGATCACAAAGGTGAATCTTGTATTTTTGTAGTACCTTCAGTAAAGGCTGATCTCGCTCATAAAACTCAAGAGTTAAATAAGAAAGTTTTATCTTTTTAATGAAAATTTCTACGTCTTTCTGTTTCGATTTTTCTTGTGACTTGACTTTAACACCTCTTTGATTCTGTACTAAACTTTTAGAGACGAGTTCATATTCAGAATCGAACCAGACATCTTATGAAGATAGAAGATGTGAATAAATGTTAACTCATCTTGTGATTGAGTTTGCTTAATTCGAACATAATTAAACTCTTCAGGTTCAGTTCTGTTTTGATGAATGATTGTATAAGAAAAAATAATCTAAAGCTATAAAAGGTAATAAAGAAGCTGATGCAATTGATGATAGTGAGAAAGAAAATTTTGAACATGACTGATATCAACCAATCATTGATTGTATGAGATACAAACAAAAATGAATGGCATAGATCTAAACTCTTATATCAAATAATTTACCAAGATAAAAAAAATTTTCAATAATGGTTATGTAATTAAAAAGTTTATTATTTTGCTAGTCTTTTAAACAGATGTCACTCTATGTCATTCACTAATCGGAACTCGGAAATGAAAATTGCTTAAAAGACTACCTATGTAAAAAACACAAGCAGAGAAACCAATATATTTATGGTTTCCATTGATTCGATGCGTAATTAATTGGTGAAAATCAAGCAATTGCAACTTTGTTTTGAATAAACTGAAGATTGTAATCAATTTTTTTGCTAATTCGATTCGTAACCCATGGTTTTTGCTGATTATCATTGTTTTTTCATTTGAAGTAAATAACATCAATTATGAGGTAATAGAATCCGTGTTCTACGATATTTTATTAATCAGATCGAATCAATCTCACACAGTAATCAATAGTCATCAATAGTTTATGATTTTTTTCTCCCCTAAAACCAACTGATATTGATTATAATCGACTAGATTTCCTTCTCAATTATAATCTTTAAGTTAAGAGGCATTTAAAACCAAGGGATGCTGACTATGAGGGTGTGGGTGGGTGTGTGTGTGGCTGCTTGTGGAATCTCTTCCACTGCAACCACACACGCCACCCACAC